GGTCTGGGTCCGGTCCTGTCCGGCTGTCTGGTGCCTTTCCGGATAACCGGACGTCTGGACCAGTCCAGACAAATGTCTGGGCCTCGGTTCAGACATGTCCGGGTTGAGGTCCACGGTTGCCATGATCTGAGCAGTGCGGGAGCTGTGGATGGTGGTGGTGAGTTGGAAAACATGTGATTGTGAGAAACAGGAAATGGTGGGCGAAAAGCAAGATCAGAAAAAAAGAAAAAAAACTTAAAAAAAAAAAAAAAGAAAGGGAAAAAAAAGTTCAAAAAACTTCAAAAAAGGAGAACAAATGTATGAAGATTCTGAAGACCAAAAAGGAAGCAAGTGCAGAGGAGTGGAAGGGTTGGAGGGCATGATTTTTACACCCGAATAACGTAAAAGCGAGGAGCGTGGATCGCACATCAACTCAACTGCTTCCCATTAAGTTCCGTGGATGTATGCGTACGGGAGGAGCCTCCTTGGTGCAGCATCTACAAAACTTGTACGATATGCAAGGGTAATAGGGTATGACTACTAGGCCATTACTGTTGGCTGTCTGAGACTCTGCACCACATCAACAAGTGAGTCCACATGCATGGATTTGTGTGTGTGTGTGTGTGTGTGTGTGTGTGTGTGTGTGTGTGTGTGTGTGTGTGTGTGTGTGAGAGAGAGAGAGAGAGAGAGAGAGAGAGGTGCCATGTGGTTGAGAGGGATTGCAATGCCGGCGTGTTTGAGTATTGGGGCAGGAAGCGCCAAAGTGGTCTACACTTTCAGTGACCCATGTATGTCACAAACCGGGCCCTTGTCCTCTGAAGTCCCCTTTCTCTCTTTTTTCTTTTGGTCTAAAGGTAAACCCCGAATAGTATTGCGCTCAGCAGGATTTGAACTTTGATTTGTTTTCTGATAGTTACATGTGTGCCATCCATCCATCCATCCATCCGTCAAAAGCCGGTAGCGCAAGGTTTGAACCTCTCTGATATGAAGTATTGACAAAGTCACAAAGGGCAAAAAGAGAAAAGCATTTGGGGCAACGTGGTTATACGATTTGTTACATTGGTTGTAGTTGCAGTGCACTGATGCCAATTATTTTGGGGACTCGTTGTTCGAAGAATATTTCAAAGAAGGCTAGTTGCATCGTATAAGGCTTCGTGATCTATGATGATGATGATGAGTCAGAGACTCACTGATAGCAATCTGGTTGATGTTGGCCATGACTGCCCGTTTCGGCGATAGACCAATCATATGTGTGGCTTATATATGCTGTGCCATATTGGGGTTGAGTCTTCCTGAACTGTCCATTAAGTCGGTGGTTGTTATGCTTCTCGCAGGGCTCGATCTGTGGACCTCATGCTAGGTACTGGACATTTGTTTTTTTTGGCACGCTGCCATGCTCGCTGTACCAGCACATTTTACAGCCTCTCCCTCAGGCATTCTTCTCCATTATCTTTCTGATACTGTGGTCGGGACTACCTTCTTAACCCGAAAAAATTGTACGTACGTTCTATTCGAATTGCCTTCGAAAATCAGACTTTAGAAAGCGCTCTCTTTTTTCCGAATAGAACGTACGGTCAAATACAACGTACGTTGTATGTACGTTGTATTCGAATACAACGTACATATGTTGTATTCAAAATTTTACAATTTTGAATAAGCAAAAATATTCAGAAAAATCCGGAAAAAAAAAAAGTTGTACAACAATGCAATACAAACAACTTTTGCTTGAGGGTCTTGTCGAAATTTACAACCAAACTCGAGAAAGAAAAGCGAGGATAAAAATATTTTTTATGGCAGGGACATTCTGTTCACTGATTTTTTCAGAACTTCAATTTTGAAAGAACTTCATTAAAAAATCTGAAAAAAAAGTATGTTGTACAAAATTGCAATGCAAACAACTTTTGCCTGAGGGTCCTGGCGAAATTCCTAGCCAAATCTGAGATTAAAAAATAAACAATAGCCGTACTATAGGCTTCTGAAAAGTTGTACCCTAAAACTCGTTATATGACATACGTACGTTGTATTTGAATACAACGTACCCCGTACGTTGTATTTGTATACAACGTACGTACGTTTTTTTCGGGTTAAGAAGGTAGGCTGCTGTCTTCCCCTAAATGCCATTCACCCGTATCTTGAATGTATAGAAGCTGCCTGTCTGTCTCAATACAGTCGTTATGAGGGTGCATGCATTTGGGGGAAGAGACCAACGTGAGGCTGCTCCCAGGGTACGTGTGAAGTCTTCGACTCTCGTGTGGCATCTTGTACTGCACTCTGCTTCAGTCATTTTGCGGGAGCATGCCATTTGGTTTGCTGCCGGTATTCACCATCTATTCACTGCCCCCGTTGAGTTCCTGTGCCACAGTCTCAGTGCATGTGTGTGTGTGTGTGTGTGTGTGTGTGTGTGTGTGCACATCCTCCTCCTTGAATTGAGTGCTGGTCACAGCTGTGTAGTTCTGCCAAATGGCTTGGAAGTTGCAATGGTTCTAGATATTCAGTTACGTCAGATGGAAAATCTGGTGGCACCTTTTTGGATGGGAATGTAGGCAGGGAGGCGCTCTTATGAGAATTATGAAAGAATTGTGAGACAAGTATGAATTGTGGTGAACGGATCTGGACGATCTGTCTGTGCAGACACTTGGAGCACAGAGGGTCTGGATGACTGGCGAGAGGCGCTGAAAACTGTCCCCGATTCAAGCTGTGAGTTGCTCTTCACCTTTATCCTTTGCAGGCAAAGTTTAGCAGTGTGTGTTTCTTTTTGGATGTGCAAATTTACTAACGTTTGACGGCGCTGTAACTTCTCTGATTTCTGTGTTTTTCAATATCATGTCAGCATTGTCAGGGCCATATTTTGGGGAGTTAACCATGGTTTCAGGGCTTTTATCTGTGCCAAGTCTGTGCATTAATTTTTGAACTGCAGCGAATTGGTCGGCATGTTGAATGTTCTCAAGCAAGATGGCGATGAACGGTTGCCGCATTCTATTTTGTTCTTCTTTTCTACTTTTTTACCATGTCGTTTTGTGCTTTTGCATCACTAGGATGCGTGCAGCAATGGGGACCCGTATGTAAGTACAAGAACCAGGAGTACGACGAAAGTGCGAGGGGAGGGGTGAAGGTTCCCTCAGCCATAATGGGGAGAAGCGTGTGGGTTGTTGAGTGATGGGGAGGAAGGAACGACAGCTTTACAAGTTTGCATCCTTTCCCTATAAAGGAGAGAGAAGAGGAGAGGAGGCAGATCTGGTTTGGATTGGATCACCTGCTTTGGTTGGTGATAGAAGCCTGGCCATTGAATGCGTAGGTCGATCAGAGCAAAACCTCTGTGGAGTAGGACGAAAGTGCAAGGGCAGGCCAGCATTCTCTGAGAGTCTCAGTCATAATGGGGAGAAGCGTGTGGATTGATGACCGATGGGACCGAAGGAGCCATAGCTTTTCATGCTTCCCTGTGAAGAAAGCGAAGAGGAGAGGAGGCAGATCTGGTTTGCATTGGATTACCTGCTTTGGTTGGCAATAGAAGCCTGGCCATCGTATGGCGCAGATCCATCGGAAAAGTTTTCAAAGATCCTCTTGAGAATGTAGGTGACTGAAGTTGTTATGCTTTTTCCGGACCTTGCTCCGCAATGGCGCATAACCAAGAAAGGAGTGGGAGATTTTATAGGGGCCTATACCCCACGTGCTCTTCTTTGGGGGAGAGTGCTGTAGTGTGATCGTGGTGAGGTTCTGGCTCAGACTATTAAGAGAATACTCCAAAGGTGCAAAGCAAACAAGCGTTTCCTCTGACGAATGAGTGCTAGTATTGTTTGGACTGCCATGCGGCATGAGTTTCAGTGAACCGGAACCGATTTTTTTTTTTTTTTTTTTTTTTTTTTTTTGCAACCGGCAAATTTAGGCGAAGTACGGGACCAAATTGCCAACTCTGGTGTGGCACGCGCGAATGCTTTATCAACTGGCAAGCATCTACAGCTGGACGTTTCCATAGAGATCGTGACAGACTTAATTCCTTGTTTCGTACTACAGGGACAGTGAAACCACAAAGTGGTTCGGCAACAGACGAGAGCAGTTGAGCCTCTCGTTTTGGGGTTCTGTTACCGCGGGCCTAGGTACGATTGGCCCGGCAATAAAGAGTCCTGACACTGTGGGTCCCATCAGCATAGGAGATTCTGGTACCGTGTGTCTTGGTACAGGCCTGCCCTGGACTGACACACCAAGCTGGCCCATCCGGGCCTAGCAGCTCTTGCGTTTGGGGGTGTTGTTGCACTCTGCTATTACGTTGTGCTGATGTCTAGATGCCATTGGAGAGCTGCCTTGGTCAGTCTGGGCGGGTTTACCATAAGGGCGGGTGTTTCTTATGGGGATGCTCATGTCTATATGCCCGCTATTACCGTGTGCTCCCCAGCGTTTTGACTGTTGGGTTTTGCCTTTGCAATCCATCCCACTTTCGTTAACCACCACTGCGCGCCCCAGGCAATCCATCCCACTTTCTCTAACCACCACTGCGCGCTGCTGGCAAAAGGTAGAATGGGTACCATAAGGGCGGGTGTTTCTTATGGGGATGCTCATGTCTATATGCCAGCTATTACCGTGTGCTTTCCCAGCGTTTCGACTGATGGGTTTTGCCTTTGCTATCCATCCCACTTTTTTTAACCACCACTGCGCGCCCCAGGCAATCCATCCCACTTTCTCTAACCACCATTGCGCGCCGTGGGCAAAAGGTAAAATGAGTGAGCTTGTGATACTTCGTTTGTAACTTTGTAAAGTTTGTATGCATCCGAGACTTCCAAGGGCTTGCGGGCACTGGACCAAAATGGCTGGCACTGCCAGCGAAAAAGATGAGAAATCGCACCCATGCCGGTTTGTTCTGTTTTTGCTGTGCAGCACGATTTCAGATCAGTAAAAACAGCCTCGGACGTAGTGGTGGGTGGGTTTAAAGTTTAAACCATGGTGGGCCCACATGTGTTGTTTCAGACAAACGATAACGCTCATGGCAGATGGTTGGAGGGGTTTCGTCATCCGCCGTGCTTGTTGAGCTTTATGATGGGAAAAAGTGCGTGCAGGCATCGTGTGTGTTTTCTTATGCCATGGGGGTGAGTTTGACCCTACTCTTAAGTTGCAAGGGAAGGATGCATAATTCTCGCGAATGCTGTTCCTCGCAAATCCTCAGGGAATATAATTTTCCATGGTGTGTTTTCTACCAGGATGTCCATGAGCAGCTGCTGCCTGAGTTGCTGTTTGAGCGGCGAAACAAAATCGCCGACTTTTGCTTTGTTACTCTGCCGTGCTGCAACTCCCGTCTTAGAAAACTCAAGCCTAATTCCTGCAATTCAGATCTTTGTCAGCCATGCCCATTTAGATTGGTAAAGGACCCCTTTAGACTGGTTCACACATAAAATCATCTGTAGCTGAACGGCCTAACAGGTGAGGCCGTTCATCGGGCTGAACATGGTCGTTGTCGGTGCCCACGATAGGTGGTCGATGGAACAAAATATCTACCTATTCGGTCAGCTCAGCTGACCTGAAACAGGTGGTGATAGTCTTGATGAGGCCTCTGTTCCCTCTCGGTCTTCATGGGACTGTCAGCTCTGCAGCAGAGTCCTAAAACAGATCAGATTTGTAATCGACCAAAATATTGGGTTATGGAGATTCCATGCTTGTTTCTTGATCCACATGCGTAGTGTGGCGTGATGTGCTTTGGACAGGTAAAAGGAACAAGTCATTCTTCCAAAGGTTGATTTATGTCTGCTGTTTTTCCTTCTGCTAGGAAATCCTATTGGAAGGTGTTCTTTGATTCAGCCACCCTGTCCAGATGATGGTGAATGCGATGCTCGAAACTGTTATGACAAATCTGAGGAAGCTATTGCCACACCTCACAGGCTATAGCTGCGAAAGTTATAGATGCAGGTCATGCTATAGGCGAGGAAGCTATAGCCACACGTTAGGCTGTAGATGAGGAAGCTATAGCACACCTCAGGCTATAAGTGAGGAAGGTATAGCTATATGGTTAGCCCATGGGTGAGGAAGCTGTAGCCACACCTTAGGCCACAGCTTGCTCAGGTGGGGCTATACCAACACAATCACTCCTTGCTAGACAGCGCGTCCAACTCGTCAGGTCTGTAAGCTACAAGAACACAGAGTGTAACATTCATACAGCAAGAAGAAGATTTCCTACCTTACCGTCCACTTAGTATTAGTAGGAAACAGTGCCGGATGACTGCCGCTGCCCGTGTGTAATGCGGATGCATTTGTAAGATGGAAGGACCTGACGGCTGCGAGATGTACACATATGCACCCTAGGCGGGAAATGCTCATTGCAGCTGTCCTCTGATGCTCTAGAAGCACTGGAGAAGGTATTTGATGATCCGGATGCATGCGAGAAGGTATGTTCCGCTGCAAAACGTGCAAAAAGGAAGTTGCGACTATGTGCTTCTTCAGGAATTCAGCTTTCTGACAGCAACAGAGGCGCTGTTGAGCTCACCATGAAGCAGCGGTATCTTCATCCGATGCCTCGCGTAGATACTGAGCAGGACATGGCATGCAGTGTGAGCCATGCAGAAGGGCAGGATTGTGATGGTGCAATGCGATATGGCGTTCTCATCGCTGTTATGTCCCTGACCATCGCAAGTCGTAGCACGCATGCCGCTTTAGTATCGTCGGCGTGGATTGTACCGTAGAGCTCCGACTCGTGGTGGCAATGACGAGGGCCCTTGTCGAGTTAGTTAAACTTAGTTTGGATTTATCATGTATTACTCAGTACTTATCAAACAGTCAGAGAGGGCAACAGTTTTGATGAGGGGGCTTTGTCATTTTCGTTTTGAATACCTATATGGTGAGCAAAATGCAGCATCATCCAGACAGATGGCAACAGTTTATGGATGTTCTCCTCAATGGAGGTTTTGCGGAGGTCTTTGTGAAAGAGAAAACGACTTCCTCGGCTGTCGGGGCCTTTGTGAAATAGAACACGGCTTCCTCAGTTGTCTGGTTGTGAAACTATCGTCTTCACCCGAGTAGAATGCCTGGTAATTATCGCTGCATCCCCCGGTCACTATCGCTGCATCTGGACCGAAAGATGTGCCAAATACAGCTATAATGACCGGGCGTTCTATTCGGGTGAAGACGGTCGTCTGAGAATTGTTAGGTTTTGCTGAGTTGATAGGAAGACGACAATCGAGGACGCAGAAGGTTTTAGATGAAACTTGACTCTAGGCTAGTCCCTCAATAGGGGGTCAAGGTTAAAGGGTGTAATGGCAAGAGACCAAGGGCCAAGAGTGGGAACGACAGGGAGGGATCTTTTTGTGGTTTGGGAATTGTTAGGTTTTGCTGAGTAGTTGTCCCTTGCGACATTCGTTAGAATTGGAACGATACATAGAAGATTAGCGTGGCCCCTGCGCGTTCAAGGATGACACGCATAAATCGAGAAATGGTCCAAAGATTCCAAACTCTTTTGCGAGGTAAAAAAAGGTTTTGCTGAGTAGATAGGAAGACGACAATAGAGGGCCCACAAGGTTTTAGATGGAACTTGACTCCGCGCTTGTCCCTCAATAGGGCTTCAAGGTTAAGGGGTGTGATTCCAAGAAACAAAGGGCGAAGAGTGGGACCGACAGGGAGGATTCCTTTTCTGTCTGAATTCTTATAGAAGTAGATAGGAGGGAAAGGAATCGGGCTAGCTTTATTTATTATACGCCCAGCAAGGCTTGGCTGGATCATGCAAATCCTGTAGAGCCAAAAAAAAAAAAGAAAAGGCTGTAGAGTGGGATATATGTGTGTATTTCTTCGTGTATTTTTTCGTCTGGTGGTGTGGAGGGTAAATCATGGTCCGCATGGAGGCAACAGAACGGCTGTCGTCTTTTCTGAGATTGGAAACTAAAGAGGATTTTCAAGGGTCCAAGGTAAGGTGCATCTCCATTATGAGCAAATGATTGATTGCTCCCCCTTCTCCCCAATGTTTTCCTACCCGCACACCTTCACGGAACTTATACCACCGTGCAGTTTCCCGGCTGTTTTCTCCTGACACGGCAGTTAACCCGTCACGTCCTTTTGGGGCTCAGCCTTGGTGGCGCCAGGGAAAAAGACATGATGATTTCGTGCCCGCGCCAGTTTGGCAGAACTTGGCGAGCGGCAAAATTGGCGTCTGAAAAAAATGCTCGCACGTACTGGCGGCTCAAGGTGCGGACACTGCGGAGCGATAGTTGCTCTCCCTACTCCCTGTACCCCGGCTGCCCCCAAACACCTCCCCCTCGTTTTCATTTTGGTAGGCTCAAAAAGCCCTTCGAAGGCTACTTTCCAAAACCCTAGCAGCGTTTTACGTACATACAATGGAGTTGAATGGGCTAAAAATTTCTAAAATGCATTTGAAATTTGAATTCAAGTGCCCACCATGTATGCGGAGACTTAAGTTGGAGAGGAGAAGGAAAAGAACAAAAATGAGAGGAAAGGGGAGACATTGGGGAGAAGGAAAAGAAGAAAGAAAGATGATAGAAGAACGAAAAGAACAAAAAATCAGAGGAAGAAATAATAACGAAGAAAGAAGAAAAGAGAAGCGGAGAAAAAGGAGGATCGTAAGTGAATGGTTTAGTGATACGAGCTCGTCTTGTGTTTGCAGACAGTCCTTCCTCTAATGGTTTCTGGAAGCAGGTCGAACCATATTTTTCTTTTGTCAGTGGCAAGGATTTTACATTTTTCCAACAGGAGGCCGCTGGGGTAAGTAATGAATTCTGTTTTTTTTTTTGCCCCCCCCCCCCCTTCTGTTTCTTGTTGTTCTTCTTGCTCTTTGTGCTGCTCTTCCTCCCTCCCTCCTTTTTCCCGCCACCCTCGCGCACTTTGCCCCCCACCCCCCTACCCTTGCTTGCTTTTTCTTCCGCATCACCATGCTCTTTTGTTCTGCTCTTTTGATCGTCCTACTATCGCTGCCTCTTCTTGTTGATGAATAATAAGGATTTATTAAATTTTATTTTTCTAACGGATTCTAAGTTCTAACCCTTAGGAGCGTATTTTTGTTGCTTTCATAACACAGTTTGTGACCATTTCCTCGCGTATGTGGGGGCACACTCAGATACGTGGGGGCACACTCAGATACGTGGGGGCACACTCAGAATTGGCAGTGTGCCTGAAATGGGCCTAATGGGGAAAAAGTGTCAGAAGGGGCCCAATGGGTAACAAGTTTGAAAATGGGCCCAATGGGGAACAAGTTTCAGAATGGCCCCAATGGGGATAACGTTTCACGATGGGCCCGATGGGGAAAAGCTTTTCAGATTGGGCCCAATCGGAAAATAGTGGTTACAAAAATAGGACGTGAACTTTTTGCTGTGTTCTCCCCTGGAGCGATATTTGGACTGAACTAAAGGGGAGAGAAAAAGGGGGAAAAAAGATGAAAAAGTTTGAAAACACTCTCCTGCCTAAGAAATCACGTAAAGTCGCTCGTCACCCCTCGTACCTGTTCCTTGGAAATGAATAGGGGCTATCTCTTAACTGTCAGAATTGTAATGCCCATCACATGACTGGTCTCGTTCACGGGCTGTACAGACACAATTGTACATACGGACACCAAGGCTGCTGTGAGAATCACCATGCCCATGACACTGCTGGCTCCTTCACTGCCTGTACTGTCACGCCTGTACTGTCACGGCTGTACAGACAGACACTGAGGCTATCACCAAGGCTGTCGCCAAGTCGATCTTCGGCGCATCGGATGAAGTTGGATCGCGTTCGCTGTCTGATCTTCTGAGTCTGTATACCCTTCCAGCCAGTGAGGGTTCAGGGATGAAACCTTCTGAGGGAATCAGTGATTGGACTCACATGACATGACCACAGAAGGAAAAAAGAAAAAAGAAAAAAAAAAAGAAAATAGAAATTGTTCCTGACTGGCTAATCAAGAGCTGGAAAGCAGAAGTCCCAGCTTGTTTGAGCACACCTGCAGAAGTTTTGTTTTGAGAATACGACTCCCGGCCCATAAAATCTCCTCCAGATCGTATGACATGAAACAGTCTAAGCCTTAAGGTGTACAGTGGCATWCATCTTTTTTTTTTTTTTTTTTTTTTCCCTACGGATCATTTCTCGATTTATGTGCCTTCCTTGCGCAGGGGACATGCTAATCTTCTGTGTATCGAAAGAAAGAAAGAAAGAAAGAAAGAAAGAATTTCTTTCTTTCTTTCTTTCTTTCTTAAAACGGGGTGCCGGGGAAACCTCTGCTGCAGATCTTACAATATCAAACTGTTTTCCGTGTTGTTTTTTCCTTTCGCCGCAAGTTTCGCGCAAAGTCCCGGTCTATCCCTGATACATTCAGCAGAGAGGCATCCAGTACTCTGTCTGACAGGCTGCATCGCTATCCATCCCAGCCCAGACAATACTTGTCTGTGATCTGCCTCCAGCGTTGTGCTCCTCCCGATCACCACAGTAAACTACTGCATCCCCCTGCGTAATATTCAGCAAATCATTTACAGTCCACCAGCACCAGGTCTCCAGGGAGTGCTATTGTAGTCTGTTACCTGAGTTTAAACCTTCACTCCTGTCGAATCTTCCTCGCAGCCAGGGCGCAGGCCTCCTAGCCGACTATCCAACCACCGGTCCAGTTTGGTATGCATTCGCACTGGGCACTCTTTCCAGAGCCATGAAGGATTACATGAGATTTTTCTTTTGAAAAAGGGCAACGCCTTGACTTATGATCATTGAATGGAGCGGGTGGCCCGGGTAATTAACAATGATCATGTTCTGCTCATCTGCTTGCATCCGGGTTTGAACTTGGGCCTGTATTTTAACAGTGCCCGGGTGTACCAACTGAGCTGGTGTTTCAGAAAGGCGACACCCCACATGTTGCTCAGTTGGCTGCTATTTTTCGATAAACATCTGGTAATCCTTTTGCATAACTTGGCGCCCGTGCAGAACCCTTTCTGAGCTTTTGGCCTGTCATCCTTGCCCTTAGGGACCACGCATTTGTCCCCACCAATCTGAAAGACACTAATGTGACAACTCTACAGTAGAATCCGCAACGTCTGCAGACCTAGCAGGCCGCGGCGCAGACCGTGGCACACAAATGTCATTAATGCACCCTGGGCCGTCGTGTCCTAACAGGCCAATGGCTGGGATCATCGTGCGATCTTACAAAATTACGATCGCGTGTCGATAAGGACTGTTATCTGGATACTACTGGGCCAACGTCCCGAGCGAGTTAGAATCTGGCTTGACACTGTACGTTCTAGGTTGTATCGCGACCACACATTGAGGAAAGGATAGTTTGTCCTTCTCCGTCGGTCCCACCGGCTGTGCACATCGATGTAAGAATCAATTGTTGCAGCCGCTTCCCACTCTTCAGCGAGAGAGCGAGCAAGCGAGCGAGCGAGCGAGCGAGCGAGAGAGAGAGAGAGAGAGAGAGAGAGAGAGAGAGAGAGAGAGAGAGAGAGAGAGAGAGAGAGAGAGGGGATTAAATCATTTGAGAACTGTATACCTGACACGTGGATTCATGCTGATGATGTGGATCGCTCTGCCGGTGCCCTGTGAATAGGTAATTATTATGCGGAAATCTTTAATTGGCTCCGAGTGCTCGCGTCTCGTGTCTATTTGTGGATTTCGTTTGTCGTTTTCTTCTGTAGTCCTACAAGTCATCCCGACGGGCACTATGGCGCTGTTCTCCTCGTTGGTTTTTATTTGTGACGTCATCATTATTTTATTGTTTGATGGACGGGTGAACTGAAGGGACACGAACCGATCTTTTTTTTTTTTTTTTTTTTTTTTTTTGTTGAACCGATCATTCTGATTCATTTACTTTCTTTTTTTTTTTTTTCATTATCGTGCTCTTTTTTTTTTAGTATCACCTTTTTTTTTTCTGTGATTGGCATGTATTTTTTTATTTGTTTTTCTTTGATGCTTTTTAAATTCCCTTGTTTGAATTTTCTCCTTATATTCAACGATAATTATTGCTGTTACTAATTTATTATAACGGACAAAAAAGAAAAACAAATATCGACATTTCCACGTATTGCGTCTGGGATTCCGTGATTGGCATTTATAGAACCTGACGGGAGTCCCGATTGCCACTGCCAGCATGCACCTGGACGTGCAGGCGCGCAGGTGCATGATCTGCATGACCTACACCAACTTGCCCAGGTGCATTCTGCGAAAGGGAATCGTCACCAGTGTGAAACGATTATCATGAATTTTGTCTATATAGCCAAAATTCATGATAATCGTTTCACATTGGTCATGATTCCCTTTCCCAGAATGCACCTGGACAAAGTCCCCCCCCTCCGTCTCTCATTATTATGTTATAAATATCCAATTTATTTTTACTGTTATGTTTCTTATAATGGATCCGATAACGTAACATGTTTATCTTTTTTTTTTTTTTTTGAATTTAGACAGTTTCTCGATCTATATGCGTCTCATTCTTGCTCAGGGGCCATGCTTCTCTCCTCTTTCTGTATCGTTCTGATAGTAAAAAAATAACGGCTTCCTTTTACTGGTCAAAAGGAAAGGAANGAGAGAGAGAGAGAGAGAGAGAGAGAGAGAGAGAGAGAGAGAGAGAGAGAGAGAGAGAGAGGGGGGGGGGGGGGGGGGGGGGGGGATAGATCCTACTGTCCACTGTGGTCCCCACCTCCTCATCCTTGCCCTCCACTCCAAAGCCTCTAGCAGCCTTCCGCGTTTGCCCCGTCTCCGATCCCTCCCCCCCCGAAAAGAAAAAAATGGGGGCCGGGGGGGGGGGGGCTACACGATGGGGGGGGGAAAAAAAAATATTTTTTTAAAAATTTTATTTTATAGGTTACCAGGAGCATGGTCCCATTAGCAGTTGGATAGGAGGGTGGCCTATCTCAAGCACAGCCATAAAACCCATTGTGGCTGTGAGTGTGCGCGTGTGTGCGTGTCTCCGTGTCTGCGTATGCTTGGGTCCCAGAGAGAGTGAGGGCGGGGCGGGGGGGGGGGGGGGGGGGGGGGCTGGGGGGGCGGGGAGAGAGATAGATCCTACTGTCCACTGCGGTCCCCACCCCCTCACCCTTGCCTGTCACTCCACGGCCTCTAGCAGCCTTCTGCGTTTGCCCCCTCTCCGATCCCTCTTCCCCCTCAAAAAAAAAATAAATTCTCCTGTTTTCTTTTCTCCTGTCCTTTGACTCTGGGGTGGCACCCACACAAGCATAAGGAGGGGTGAGAGAGGGAGAGGGAGAGAGAGGGAAGGATGGTTGGGTTGTGACTCCTGGGTCGGGAGTCGAGGTCTGGTGTCTGGGTCTAGGGTCTCTGGTGTGGGTCTGTGTCTGTGTCTGAGTCTGGGGGAGGGTGGGGGGTTGGCTAGCGGGTCTGTGCCTGCCTACTTGGGGCAGGGGTCTGGACCTGCAGTCTGGGTCAGGATATGGGGTTGGTGTGTGGGATCTCAGTTTCCTGCTGGATCTGGGGTCTGGCTATGGGTTTGAGGTCTAATGTCTTCACCCGAAAATAACATCCGGGTGTTATATTCCAGTTACCCTAAAAAAGGCAGTTTTTTGTTCTTACTCACTTTTTAAAAGTTTTTCGAATAGAATGCCCCTTCGAATATAACCCCCGGGTGTTATATTCGAATAGAACAGATATATTTGAATAGCCCGGGCGTTATATTTGGGTGTGCCATGGGCAGAGTGCCTTGTAGAGGGAGTATACATAGGTTTTAAAGGGGAGGAAAAGGGAGGTATACATGGGTTTTAAAGGGGGTTGAAACTTGAAAGGGATCTTGACTTCCAAGAATTATGCTTTTTTTCTTTCCCTTTTTTTTTTTCCCAGAAGGCCCAGGTGTGAGCTGCAAGGGTGGGCGGTAAGGGAGTCCCCTCCTCACATTTTTGTTTCTTTTTTCATTTCCGAATTTATAAGGAATTCTGAAGTGACCCTCAGCCAAAAGTTGCTTGCATAGCAATTCTACTATTATTCTAGACAACACTTTTTTTTTTTTTTTTTTGAAATTTGGGGCCCCACCGAAGTTGCCGCCAATTTACCGAATATAACGCCCGGGCGTTATGTTCATATACAAGGCCCGGGGCCCGGGCGCTATTTTCGGGTGAAGACGGTAGGTCTCGCTTTCGGGTCTAGGGTATGGGGTATAGGTTTGGGTTTGGGGGTTATGAGGTATGGGATATAGGTCTGGGTTTGGGGGTTATGAGGTATGGGATATAGGTCTGGGTTTGGGGGTTATGAGGTATGGCAGATAGGTCTGGGTCTGGGGGTTATGATGTCTTGGTCTGGGTCCAGGATCTGGGGATGGGGCTGTGTCCCAGGGCTGGTTATGGGTTGGTGGTGTGGGTTGGGATCTGGGTTGGGTAAGGGTTGGCAGTGTGGGGCGGGATCTAGGGTCTTGATCTGGGTATGGGTTGGGGTCGGTGGCCATATGGTGCCGACCTGTTTTTCTGTTGTTTGGGTATATGGGCTCTGCCTGGGGTTCCCTCTGGGGCTGGGGGTGGGACTGGATTCTGGTTCTGGGGCTGAGGTCCGAGTTTGGGTCTGTGTCTGGGTCTGTGTCGGGGGTCCGGGTTTGTGGCGATATGGCCCTGCCGCCTTTTTCTGGGGTGTGGGTCTGGGTTCTGGGGTCAAGGACTGGTTCTGGGAATGGGTCTAGCGGGGCCTAAGGTCCAGGTTCGGATTTGGGGTGTAATGTCAGGGTTGGGGTCTTGAGGTCCAGGTCGGGAGTCTGACTCTGAGATCTTGGGGTCTGGGGTCAAGGACTGGTTCTGGGAATGGGTTTAGGGGTCCCTAGGTCCGGGTTCGGATTTGGGGTGTAATGTCAGGGGTGGGGTCTTGAGGTCCAGGTCGGGAGTATGACTCTGAGATTTTGGTGTGCATCGGGGATTGGGTATGGAATCAGGGGTCTGGGTTTGCATCTGGGTCTTTGGTTTTTATCTGGTCTGGTCTGCGTTAGGGGTCGGGCGTGGGATCAGGGGTATGTGTCTCAGTCTGTGGCCATACCTGTGCTGCCCTGTCTTTCTCGCCTGCCTTCTCTCCACGCCACAACTCCTTCCTTTTCGGCCATCAAGAGTGGTTCCAAGAATGAAGTGGTGAGAGTCTGGGAGACCCCACAGCCACAAATGGACTGCCCATCATATTTTTGACTGCGGGTGAAGCCGCGACAGGCCATGTAGTCTCTGTGTAATTGCAGTTCTGACTCCCAATGGATCTCCCAAAGGTGCACAGGTGCAGGTATACTTAACTGGATGCATCAGGCCTGTGATCCCTTCTCATGTCCTCTGTTATGGCACACTGATGAATAGTCAGCATGCTGCTGAGGATGACCGCTTCATGCTGACCTGCTCGTGTGTGTGTGGCTTGCTTTTAGTGTCTGATTTTTCAGTGCATGGAGGAAGAGGCCCCACTAGCAGTGCAGTGTTCTTGCTTAGAGGGCATGGACCCACCGTAGTCGCAAGACTCGTAGCCAGGTTCATGCCTTCTGGGCACAAACATGGCACCAGTGGGGTTTGCCCCTTAGTGTTGCAGAGTCCACCTGTTACTTCAGAACAAAGAGTCACGTGTTTGTGGCGCGTTGCAGTGTCAGCTCGGCGTTGTGTTTGGAAGGCATGAACCTAGTCGTAAAAATGCACACCAGTATCTTGGATTTGTTATCGAATGCACGCCAGAACAAGGAGTCGTCTGCAGTGCTCTTGGTTCGTTGTAGTGTCAGCTCGGCATTGTGATTTTTTTTAGAAGGCATGAACCTTGTCTTGAAAAGGGCCCGGCCCACGCCTGCTCAGCACAGGCATAGCACCAGTGGGGCCGCCCCTTGGTTCCACGGAGTCCATCTGGTACATACGATCTAGGAGTCGTCTCGAGTGTCTGTTTCGAGGAGTCGTCTCAAGTGTCTGTTTCGAGGAGTCGTCTCGAGTGTCTGTTTCGAGGAGTCGTCTCGAGTGTCTGTTTCGAGGAGTCGTCTCGAGTGTCTGTTTCGAGGA